TGGTGTAAAGATAAAGCATTCCACCCTTAATGAATATATATTTATATGATATTTATCTAATTGTATTCATCAAAAATCATATTTAGAGTAATTTTTAGAAAAGAAACTACTATCGTTTGCACAGTGGTCAATCCTTCTGTTAAATTTTGTGACTATCGTTTAATTTATACCAAAAGTCAAAAAAAGAATCGCAAACTTTAGGCATACATAACTGAAGTTGAAAATTTGTGTTTGCTTTTAGATTTTTTTTGACTAAAATGTGGTCTTGTGAACCCTAGATATCAGACATTTTAATCTAAATTTGGTGTGATTTGTCAAGGTCAACTTCGAACATTTTTTACTTTAACTTATGAACCTGACAAGGAAAAACACGGGACATTTTTTTTTTTTACTGAAATTGTGGCAAGGCTTCAATATATAGTCTTGCCAAAAACACATTTTTGTATAAACTTATAGCCTTGATGACAAGGCCAAACTTTAGATATTTTTGTCTCAAATTGGAGTTTGAGGGGGAGTTCCACTCATGGTACCTTGAGTGAGTGAAGTTTGATTTTGACTTTGCCTTTCACTCATAGTACCTATTTTGGCTTGATGTCTCACTTATGGTACCTTTATTTTATTTGGCTCATAGCACCTTAGTCTAAATAATATATTTTTAATCTAAAATCAACCCAAAAATAAATAAACCTTTATGGGGATTTTACATACAATATAATAAGAGACATAAAATCTCTGTTACTTTATACCGAACAAAGATTTTGAAGAATAAGCGGAGGACGGGTAGTAGTTGAACTTTAAAAAAAAAAAAAAGGTACAAATTAAGCTAGTGTTTGGCCCAAATTTTAAAATATTCTTAGAAATCTGTTTTGGTTGAAATCATCATATGTTTGGTCATAAATTTTGGAAGAAATATTTGACTATTCAAAAAATATGATTTATACTCATAAGTTCTAAAAAATATTTAAAATATCTTTAAGTTTGTATTGTCGTTTTATAATGAACATGTTCCGTCAAAAAATAACCTTATAACATAATTGATAACAATCAACAAAAAAAAAAATCAATATGGGCAAGAGCAATACATTAATCGCACACTCAAACTTGTCATTGATTCATGATAAATTTTTACCCATTAAAAACAAAATGTTCTTTTTTTGTCATGTTCTGTATAGGTAGCAAAGATGATTAGTTATTAGTTATTAATATAGTAATTTGGTAAATAATGTTAGTTGAAATTAACAAATGATGAGTAATTTTTATAAAATATAAAAGTTTGGAGTAAATTTTTTTTAAAAAAATAATCTCAAATACTATAACTTAGCCCAAATTTTATTTTATTTTTTAGTCTTTGGGAACTTGGGATACTTGACAAATATATTTATCAATTAATGACAAGTTATATATCCAAACACCATTTCTCAATTTTTTTTCTCAAATATATTTGGGACCAAACGGGTCCTAAATCCCTATGAAATTGTTGGCAAGTGGACTGGTAAATCATATCCCTATTTTGTTGGGCTACCACCCATAGGCCCAAGAATGGGACGAAACGCTCGCGACTCCTGATGGATATATTGCTATAACAACCCTTTGAACATATTAATAACTTGTTTGAATTGATTTATTTTAGATATTTTTAAGTTAAAATAATTTTAAAGTAATTTTGTAGTGTTTGGATCAAACAAAAAAAATACTTATAAACATTTGTTTTAAGCTAAAATAACAAAAATAAGTCATAAAGTCATTCAAGTTGGCTTGAAAACCACAATATGATAGGACTTTGATTTGATTTTTAGTTGAGTTATAGGTAGGAACATCAAATATATGTGGTACGTTATGCTTTTTATGTGGACCAGTGCTCATATAAAAAATATATACACATAAGATATTTACTTCAAATTAAATATTCTTTTAGAAAAATCTCAAATGATCAGACATTTTAATTACAAGTTATAAAATGAGAATCCAAATTATAATTTAATCATAATTTGTATCTTATACTTATATCGAAAACTGACACCCATATAAAAATATATACACATACAATAGGTGTATATCCAAATATGTGAATTTATTTGATATATAAAAATAAAAAATAAAAAATAAAATATATATATATATATATATTATTTTTATTTATTTATTTATTACTTATTATTTTTTTATTTAGGGGAATTTTCGCATATAACCACATAAAAATAACTTAATGATGCTCCATAGATATAACTTGTTAATTACGATTCATAGCTACTTGTTAGAGGGAGGAGAGAAGCAGCGAGATTGATAGAGGGAGGAGAGACGCGAGCGAGATTGAGAGAGGGCAGAGAGGCGAATTGTATATGTATATCTGGCGAGCGAGATTGACAGAGGGAGGAGGGAGACGAGCAAGATTGGGAGAGGGAGGAGAGAAGCGAGCGAGAGAAGCATACTGTATATATATATCTGTCAGATAATTATATATATGTAATTGGTATACATATATATTTGTATATGTATAAGTGACACGATTACAACTAAAATTGAGCTGAAAGCCCTAATTAATTCAAATTATAATTATGTTGGTTAATTAATTAATATATTTTTGCTTATCCGCGTATTTTCCCTTTTATTTGTTGGATAGCCACAAAGCAAGAAAGGATAGGAAGCGTTAAACGAAAGGCCAAGCAGCTGTCTCATTCGTAGTCCATTGTTTGAAGAATCCCATTGTCCACAACTTTTCCATCATTTAAAATCAATCAATCAATCCCCACCCCCTATCTTTATCAACTTTCCTTATCTATCAACACCTCCAGCTATTCTCCTCATAAACCTCAACACCATTTAAAAAAAATAAAAAATATGAAAGATTAACGTTATGTTTATTTATAGTAGCAGGTAATTTGTCTTCTTTTCAAACAGTGTAAAAAATAGATTTTATATCAACAATGTATATCATTTAATTAAATTCAAATGAAAAGTAACTCAAATTAAATATATATGATTACTACTCCCTCCGTTTCAAAAAAATTGGTCTGGTTTGACTTGGCACGAAGTTTAAGAAATTAAAGAAGACTTTTGAATCTTGTGGTCATAAATTAAAGTTATGTCAAATGTATAAAATTGCCCTTAATCTTGTGGTCTTAAACATGTCACGTGGAAAGCAAAAAGTAAAATGTTATCAAAAAAGGAAAGATGTCATTTTTTTGAAACTGACTAAAAAGAAAAAGAGGTCATTCTTTGTGAAACGGAAGGAGTACAAGTTAACCTTCTCTCCAATCTTTTTCATTGTAACAATTTACTTGACAGAATAAATAGTTTAGGCCCGAGTGGCGAAATCAAATATTTTACAAAAGGAGTCAAGATATAAAGAACTAAACACATGAAAATTATTATTCTTTTCGCCAAAGAAGCACAAAAACAATAGAGTCTGAAAAAGATAAAATATACGCGATCCTTACTAATCACTGCCTCACAAAGATAGATAGGTTATTTCACTATGTTAATTATTAACAAACGTTTCTCATGTTTTCTCCTGGAGTTTACATTTCCCCTTTTTTGGTATTATATTCCGAAGAGAAAAGAGAGAAAGATAAAGGCCAAAAAAGATTAGAAGAAGTTACCTGTAGGACAGTATGAAAGTATCTTCATGATATTCCATATCTTTTGAGTTTTGGAATTATGCTTTTTAACCAAATCGGTTTATATTTGACACATTCAAAGTTTAACACATCAATTTGCTTTTTCTTACACTATTAAGCAGACAGTTTATTGCTTGACAAGACCACTCATATCTAACTTTATTTCGATCTATTTTACTTGTCATCTTGATAAAAATATAAAATCCAAATAATTGTCATTTAAAAAATTTAAAAATAAGTAACTATCAATTTCCACCATTATCATTACTTTATAAATGTAAAAAGAGATTAATGTGGTAAAAAAACAATATTAAGCTTAAATTGAGATGCTAAAATAAAATTGTTTTTAAGAGAAATCAGATATTATAAAAGGGAAAGTATGTTACATAAAATAAGATTAAATATTTTTTTCTTAGTATTGTCTAGTGATAAAAGTGAAGTACCTTATTAGTGACAAATCGAGGCATCTTCTAATTATTAATAACAGTATCAACCATGACAGCTCTTTATCTTAGTTAGTGGAAAAGAAACGGCATCAAAGTAGTGGTGTTGAATTATATACGCAAGTATTTTCTAAATCAGGGGCACACCTGTTGGATGTTGCACCCACAAACATGGACCCATAAGTGCAATTCACAAATAATGCATTAACCAGTTTAATTATGCATAATTACCATTATTTGATCTTTGATTTGACATTATATTGATGGAGACGCAATAAAACGTAACCACCTAAACTATCTTTGTTTCTCACTAATTGTACTCATTGATAAGTGTAGATTAGTATCACGTTCGCATGCACCATATTTATGTATATCCAGGCTGTGAACTTCTAATCCAAAATAAAGATAATTAAGGATAAGTTAAATTATAAATCACTAGATAGTCCAATTTAACTTGATCGATCTATATATCTTGTTTTACTTGGTCCAAGCAGTAATCTTGGATTAATGTGAAGATCAGATCCTCAGTAGATAGTCAAAGTTAAATTGATCGATCCATATATATTATTTTACTTGGTCAAAAAGGTGAGGATCGAACTATTGGATCGAGTAAGGTTAGGAAGGAAGGTAAAGCGAAAGGCATGCAAATAAATTTAATCGCAGATACTCTTTAGCTAACATATGTTTTAAAAAAACAAGTAATTAGATACCCGTAATCCACTCACAACTCCTTAATTTGAAATTAAATTGATATTTTCCATAGAGTAATTTGTCTTGCGGAAAATTAACAATATCTGTGGAGTTATTCTGGCGCAAGTGGTTTATGATATTTTATTAGATTTGTTTTCTTCCTTTGTTGTTTTGTGTTCTTGTAGGACTCCATTTAACTGTAATGTCTCTATCAGTGAACTACTTTACAGAACAAACTCGATTATCCATAACAATGGTGCATTTGTAATCTGAAACTACCAGCAAATTTGGACAATATATCAAAAGTAGGATCAATTTTTTTTGTCTTAATTTACTCTCAAAACTTCAAAAAAAAAAAAAAAAAAAACTTACAATCACAAAGCAGTGATGGACTTGATATTTAAAAAGTGACCGTCAAGTAAAAAAAAGAAAAGGATCAAAATAGTTGAGATTTGAATAAAAGGATCAATCCTGGAATCCAGTTTTCTCCCATATAGCATTTCTGACTCTACTCAGATCTCTCCCTTTGAGAGTCCGCCCAACTCCTTCGTGCACGGAAAACGATGCAATCCGTGTCCTCTCTAACTGCTTCGCCAAAAACTCGTGAGGCGGAATCCGATTATCCAAATCATCGTCGTCTAAATCATCATCACTATCTCTCCTTCCGTACTCTCTGTACTCATCCTTTAGTATCTTCGACCAGTCCGGTACATTCACCGGCAACGACGCCGCAGTCGTCGTCGCTGTCGCTGTCGCCGTCGCGCCGGAACATTTTCGGTAGCTCTTCGTTTCGCGCTGCTTCCTCGAGATCCTTGAGCTCGGAGATTTCTTACGAAACTCCGGCGACTGAGAAACCGTCGATGAGTTCCACACGTCTGATTCGTCGAACTCGAACACCGAATCAGGAGTCATCGCAAGGTCTGGCTCGGTGGAGAGGAAATGATAGTTTGCCGTGGCGAAATAGCTCCTTGAAGCTGCCATTGATGATGGATGGGAAGAAATTGAAAGAATGGTTACTGTGTATACATACAGACACGTGTGTATGTATAGAATGAATGTGAAATTGTTGCTCTCTGTTTAAATTTGGAAGGTAGTATTTTTTGTATTCTTATATCTCTTTCTTATAATCTCAGTATGTGTTGATGTTATCAAAGAGCGAGGAATTGATTTGCTTTTATAAAGGTTTTTAATAATGGATAAGATTCTTCTCTTTACGTCTCATTTCTCCGTCTCTTCTTTTTTCAATATTCACCATTATACCCCTAGAAAAATCATGAAGACGCCACGTTATAATTTGGATTTATCCACTATCGACCCCACTAAAATCTACAGTTCCTCTAAAAATGAACAGTTGCTGATGTGGACTCTTTCCTCTATTTTCCGTAAAATATTAATTATTCAAATTCTTTTTTTTTAAGAACTAATACTCAATTTTTTAAATAAAAAATAGAAATAACCATTCTGACCGTGAAATTCTTATTTTTTACTTTATGTATCACGCTTAATTTGCATGAAGTAGTATGGCTCGATCTCGGACGTGAATCACAATTCACAAGTTCCTTAATGCTTTTTGCGTTGGAATTGATAAAGTTCCGTGGAGTTCATAATTGCATAAAAGGAGCCAAAGTAGTGGCTGCGGCGCGTTGAGGCACTTCTTCGACGGTCCCCGTACGCCTGGCCTGCCGGCCCGCTCTGAAGAATTCATGATTTATATATGTTTCAGGCCGGTGAGAGGGAGTGCGCCTTCCCACGGACAACATAAAGCACCAACAGCGTCCGAGATTACTAGATAGAGAAGAGACCTGTACTGAAAGTTGAAAGTAAGAAAGCTTAGTTAAATGAAAGTTCTTTCAACATTTGTATCTGCCTTTCTCATAAAGAGAAGCTATTTCCGCTCTACCATGAATTGTTGCTATTTCCGCACCCCTGTCCGGTGGTTTGAGAAAGAAAGTCGAGACATTCAGAAAGAGAGTTATGGCATTTCGAGGATTATAATATGGTCGGCGCTGTCGCACCTCTACTATTTTCGGCGTAACGAGGTTTTAGTCTTATGAGGGCACCCCCTAGCCAGATTCAATCCCAAAGGTCAATCAAGCCTTTGAAACTAGTGACCTTTCCGCCAAACCAGAACGAGAGCCAATCGGGTCGATCAGAATGTCCTTATTTCACAGCGCTATAACATTCTCAAGTTAGAGTCTGACTACCCTCAAAGCCATTGCCTTTCAAGTATAGCGTCTTTTCAAGTCAGTCTTGTCCCGCCTGTAAAAACAGGGATTTTACCCCATTTATCTAATGCT